AGCTCTTGATCCCCCTGCCTTGTTCATACAGAATTCCAGGAATGTCCTACGTGGTTTTCCTGCTGCTTTGCATCTCTGAAGCCACATGCTTCCAAAAGCCAAATCCAAGATAGATGCAGTAGGTTAAGTCCGGTTACAAGCCAAGAAAAAAGCCAGGAAGCATGGGAGAAAGGGAAATGCAGGTGGGATGGAGAGCACTAATTTTTCTCAGGGCTTACACTTGAAAAATCAGGCTTTCCTAGGCGCTCTTTGGGGAATCTAGCCAGCATGTGTCAACTGGCTAGGATCTTGTCCTTGTGCTGATCCCTCAGGAAGCTGGGTTATCATAGCTATAACAACAGGGATTGATACCTGTACTGGTCAGCTGCCAAAAAGAGCCTCTTGACACAGAAGAAGAGACCTTGAGGTTATGGATGTGGCAACATGAAAGACTGTTTTTCTGTGCCACCTTGTTTCTGAGGAGAAAAGAGACAGAAAGAGCCCTCCACTCCCTGCACGTGGTGGTCTGGATTGTGGTGCTCCCTAGAATAAGGCAGACAGTGAAAACGTCCTAGTGGGGATGAACAAAGGACTTTTCAGAACCGAGTGTCGGACGTGGCTCTTGAAATTGTGTGCACTAATGTGATGAAACTCTCTGCCATCTCCCCAAGCCTTCAGTAAAGACGGCTATCACACAAAGTCCCTATGTGTGGAGAATTTCTGTGTATATGTCACAGAAACTGTCCCGGTCCAGGTTTGAATGAGTATGGGGAAACAAGTACGGGGGTAACCGGACCTTCATAAAGGAACCAAATTAGTGGAGACAGAGACAGACCCATGACAACAGATTCAGCTTCCCCTTTCCCACCTCATACCTTAGAAATCCAAAGAAATCCCAGAACGGACATTGTGCTTCCCCAGACCTGGATTAAGGGGTGAAGCTGTGTTATGCAGCTCTAAGCAGTAGGAAGAACTGGTGAACATCTTGGCCTCATATAAATATGCAGATGGTACCTAAACCTGTGTTCATGCAGATGCGGGGCAATATCAGCGCACATTTGCATGGTCTTTTGGGAAGCTGATTTTTAGGCACTTTACATGGCATTAAATGCTTCCAGATACTCAGATTACATCTGAGCATGGATTTGTTCATATAATAATTTCAGGAAAATGAAAAGAACATGCCACGAACTGAGAGAATATATTTGGAAATCATATATCTCATAAAGGACTTGTATCCAGAATATATTTCTTAAAAAATATGCTCTGAAAATTCAGTAAGAAGAAAACAGAGAACCCAATAAAAATGAATGATATCTTGGAACAGACACTTCACTAAGAAGAACAGCAAATAAGGACAGTGGTCTACCCTATCCATGGGGAGTATGTTCCAAGATCTCCAGGGGATGCCTGAGACACTGGATTATAGCGAACCCTATTATATGGGTCAGAAGGTGAATGGCACCTAGAACACGACCTTGCCGATAGTACTTTTTTGAAATCTGTTACACCAATGCTTGTTGAACCTAAAAAATTACCTGTTTTATGAATCCTTTTGATCTCAATGTTAATTGTTGCTTTTTAAACATTAGTTTAATTGTCTAAAATTTCCGACAATAGTTAGTTTAAAAGAACTTCCAAGATTAGACTACAAGTGTCAGTACAGAACTATATTCTCCTAATTTAGAAGATTCTCTCCTAATTTAGAAGATTCAAGTCAATCACTTAACTCCTCAATTGACCTGATGGAGAGTACTCCAGAAACTTGCTCACATCAATAGTTATCACCAAGTCAGCAAATTCTCCTTCAATTGACATTCTGTTCTGAAATTCCTGCTTTCCTTTATAATTCCCAGTGTACGGTGTTCTTAGAAAACCCAAAATGCATTATTTAAATTATGTCTCCCAACAATAAGTCCAAGAATTTAGAAAATGGAGCCTACTTCAAAAGACCCTCTTAAGAAAAGAAAAACACATGTCACAGACTGAGAGAATATTTTTGCAAGTCACATATCTGATAAAGGATTTGTACCAACACATGAAGAACCCTCAAAACTCATGACAAGAAACCAAATAACTCAATTAAAGTTAGGAAACAGATTTGCACACATACTTCACCAAAGAAGGTATCCAGGTGGCAAATAGGACAGGGAAAGACGATAGATATCATTAGGCATTAGGGTAGTGCAAAGCACCTGCAGTGAGACACCGTGAGAAACTCATCAGAAAGGCTAAAGGTAAAAACGCTCACCATGTCAAGCATTGGCAAGGATGTGAAGCAACTGGAACTCTCACATACAGCTGGTGGAAATAAAAACAGGTACGACTTCTTTGGAAAACCATTTTGCAGTTTTCTTAAAATGACAAACACATACCTACCATATGACCCAACCAGTCTACCCCTAGGTATTTACTGAAGTAAACAAAAAAGGCATGTATCTATACACAGATTTGGATATAAATCTTTGTAGCTTTATTTATAATAGTCTAAAACTGGAAGCAATGCAATTGTCCATCACAAGTGAATGATTAAAGAAAGCACAGTACATTCATACGATGGAATACTATTCAGCAATAAGAAGGGATGAATCACTGATACGCACAATGACATGGGTGAATCCTCAAGTAATAAGGGTGAATAGAAGAAAACAGACCAAAAACAAGTAAATGCTGTACTATCCCACTTATACAAAACTCTAGAAGGGAAAACGAATCTATAGTGACAAAAAAATGATCAGCAGTAACCTGGGGAAGGGGCAGTTGTATTGAGGAACGAGATGGAGGGAGAGATTTCAAACAGACACAGAGAAACTTTAGAGGGAACATGGATATGTTTACTATCCTGATTGAGTTCTTTTTTCTTTCTTCCAAATTTCAATTTTATTTTATCAATATACAATGTGGTTGATTATCGTGGCCAATTACCAAAATCTCCCTCTTCCATCCCCCCCCCCCCCCCGAACAGCTTCCATCCCTCCCCCCCCCGCCGAACAGTATCCTTTCTGTTCTCTTGTTGTATCAACTTCAAGGAATTGTAATTGTTGTGTCTTCTCACCCCACCCCCCGGTTTCTTCTGTATTTATTTATTTATTTTTAGCTCCCTTGAAGAAGTGAGAACATGACATTTCTCTTTCTGTGCCTGACTTGTTTCACTTAATATAATTCTCTCTAGGTCCATTCATGTCATTGCAAATGGCAGTATTTCTTTCTTTTTTATAGCAGGGTAGTATTCCATTGTGTAGATATACCACACTTTCCATATCCACTCATCTGATGATGGACATTTGGGCTGGTACCAACTCTTAGCTATTGTAAATGGTGCTCCAATGAACATTGGGAAACAGGTATTCCTTTGACTTGTTGATTTCCATTCCTCTGGGTATATTCCCAGCAGTAGGATTGCGGGGTCATATGGTAGATCTATCTGCAATTGTTTGAGGAACCTCCATACCATTTTCCATACAGGCTGCACCATTTTGCAGTCCCACCAAC